CTTCCTCTCCCACACGTTTCGATGCGTTCGTACTGCTGTCATCGGCAATCGACGATACTTCTGGCACAAGGACGTCTATCAAGCATAACCCAAGGGAGTAGATATCGTCCTGGACAGATGGACGGCGAAGAGCATTCTTCTTCTGGCAATCGGGTGCACGCCAGCCAAGTTCTTCAAATGTGTTGTCCAGTATGGCTTGATTCTGTAGCGCTAGCACACCGAGGCCAAAGTCCGCTAACTTCACGGTACCATCCGCAGTAACCAGAATGTTGTCACTCTTGAGATTGCCGTGTACAATTTTGTGTTCATGGAGAAATTTCAACCCCGTTGCTGCTTGTAAGAACATTCCCCACATCACACTCTGGTCGAAGGTATTGCTCTTTGATTCCCGAGCCAAATAGTTTACCAAAGGCCCATTGGCTGCATCTTCGCATACAAGAAGAGCAGGACGACTACAATGTGAAGCGCCGTACAATTTCAGTACATTGGGATGATCCATGGCGAACCAGGCCTCCACTTCTTGTCGGAAAAGTTCAATAGCATCCGCATGGATAAAAATCCGCTTGACCACGACTCTATAAGTCTTGGGAGGTTGTTCCGCGGATTTATCATCTTTGGCAGGTTTCTTGCCATCTTTGGGCTTCCTGTCGATCCAGACACCTCGATGGGCTGTCCCCACGGACCCATACATGACTTTGTCCCGTGAATAATTCACCGCATACGGAGGGATATACCAGTCCGGGATCTTTGCTACACGTCCGTTTGAAGAGCGTACAACAGAGAAGAAGACCTTCTTCATACTAGCCACATGTTTGGCGGTGTTTCCCGGCGTGAAAAAGTCGATCTCGAACTTTAACAGCGTCAAGGCCTCCATGAGCTCGTGTGGCAACATGTTGCGTGCGAACGGTAGAGCGTTTTTAGCCGCCCTTGCACTCAATTCTTCCTCCTCTTTCTCTCTATCCGCGTCGAGTTGTTTCTTCCAGTCCCGGGCGTTAATTTTAGCATTTAGACCCGCACAGAGCACAGCGCGATCCAGATTTGTTCCTATGGCTACTAAATCCAAGTACATCCGTCTCATACTGGCCAAATGGAACACAAATGAGGAGGGTGTACTGGCACTGAAAAACTCTCCTGCTACACTTAGGTTATTAAGGTGACCGCCGATATAATTGTGAAGAGCACCGAAAAACTAAAAATGTAATATCCACAGGGCATTGGAACAATCCACGCCCTGGTTTGGTATATTAACATCATAAATAACACCAAAAGATACAACTTTGTCAATGCACACCATTCCTACTGATGCCTAAAGTCGATTCGACGAACTCATAGTTGTCAACCCGGAGGACTGCAGATGTCCATTGTTGCCGGGCACTAAACGAAGTCGATCCCTGACCTTGCGCGCCCGCAGTGTTTGCTTGCCACAGGAACGAAGTTGTCTTGACTACTCTCACCACTACCATAGATGCTGAATTCGTTACCAGAGCACTTAACACCTGCAGGTACTGGCCCATTAAGACCAGTGAGATATAAGAAATGTCGAATAGCTCCCAAGCCGACCTTCGTGCTGTAAACGGCCTACTAAGCGGACGATTCCTTGTTGGAGGTATAGTTCTTGGCCTGGACGACCGTTTCGCCATTCTTCTTGAATGCCTTGAAGGCCAAAGCAACGGCTTCATCCTTCTCCTTGAGAGTGTACTACTTCCCATTCTTGAGCGTGGTGAGCACCGCCGAGATACCGGTATCCACCTTGTCATCACCGGCCAACATGGTGATGCGTGTGCAATAAGACACCCTCGTCGAACAACTAAAAATGGCATATATACAAAAAGTTAAACAAAGGTATCTCGTGGAAATGTCGATATTAATTAATATATATATATATATATACGCTTCAACTAAGCTCGTCCAACAAATTCCCCAAACCTTTTGATTATCCGCTCTTCTTTCTGGGGCGCTTGCCACTTTGCAGACGCGATTCGATTGCTCTTTTAGTAGGCTTTGGGGCACGGCAGGAGCGGCGAACCTGCGAATGATCGATGTAGTCACCATTGCTTGAGTCAGCGTTAGTACCCTGTAATTCTATACTTTGAGTATCGACTGCAGATTGGAGTTCATCCGCATTAGGCACTGCTTCTTGGGGTGCGGAGATCTGGATTGAGTGTGCTACGTGTGCGTTTGAGACAACCTGCGAGGTTTGGTCCCGCACCTCATTAGCAATTACACGTAGTTCGGTATCAGGTGCCATTGAGTCCGGATGTGCACCGATTTCAGGATGGGGCAAATCCCTATCTAGCTCATTGTTTGACCCTTGGGAAGAAACCGCATC